CCTTTTATTTATGATTTAAAACTATTGTCAATAGTAATCCTATCTACTATTTATTGCAAGACGATTGATTGACATGATAAACGAGACTAATGGAATGCACATGCTGTTCATCGTATGAACACATCGACAATATGCATATGTTTTCTTTTAAAGACGTGAGTGCAGTTGAGCAGTAACCACCCATCAGCATTGTAATATTACAAGTGTTTGTTTAAATTGAATGTAAACAATCGATTGATTTTTTTGTCGAATTGCAGATGTTTTGTTGAAAAGTTATTTGCATCGTGTTGCCACTGTAACGGATTTCAACACACAGACTAAGGAGATATTGGAATTCGGTAATATTACGGACGCTTAAGAAGGTTGTTCATTAATTTCCAATCATAATCTTCAGACATATTTGTTTACATATTATTCTCTCATTATGTCAAGACTTAATTTATAGTTCATTAGATCATCGTGTGTGTATAGGCGAAGAAATTAGTTTACTACAGAAGCGTTGACTTGTATTGCTTAAAATTTTTGTAATAAAGTTGATTCGATCGGTGGTATGAACCAAGGCACAAACACATCTGGAGGATCAACGGGTGGTGCAAGAAAACATATGCTTGAGCTTTTTCCTTTTTCAAGAATCATTTGTATATTCCAGTTGTTCACTGAAATAGAGGATTTCATGCGGCATTGGAATAATTAGCCTTGCATACAAAAAATAATTCTAGTCTGAATACGTAAAAGAGAAAACATTGATTGGCAGAGGATTCAATAAATTTCGACTGTTATAAAATATGTAGAAAAAATCTTTTTTTTTTTGAAAAGTAATAGTGCTGTATCCTTGGATAAGAAAAGTCGGACTAGACGAATACGCTTTGTAAACCTAATTTCCGTTCAAGTGACAGAAATATCTTCAATTTAACTTGTCCATCTCTGGTTTACTAAATGCAATGAGAGTATCTATAAATATATTTTATTATATAGATGTTTTTCGAGGGATGTCATAATATCCACAACTTGGGTATCGAGATGAATACCCATATAGGATACCCAGTTGGATGGATATCTACGTATCCTCAGAGCTGAGGAATTTGAGTGCATTTGGTGTAACGAGAATGGGTATCAGAAATTTTCCTACTGTCAGGTCCTACTTCAAACAAATTAATATAAGCCACAATTCAAATAACATATATGTGACGATCCACAACAACACCAACTACACAGCATGCTACAGTTTTAACCCGACTTCCTTGAGCCATTGTGATGAAAGTCGTAATAAATTGTTATCAGGTAAAAATTAAGTTCTTCAACGAACATTTACCTGGAATTGCACGCTATCTGCAATACTCACTAAACAAATCTGTACATATCGATAAACATTGGCATAAAGCTGACTACATGAATACAATAAATTTTAACATAGCATCACGTTTCCTTATTCATAATTATAAAGTCACGCATTTCTACAATATGGTATCCATTTCCGATACCCAGTCTCGTTACACCAAATGCACTCAAATTCCTCAGCTCTGAGGAACATGGGTATTCATTTTAGTATCCATTTTAGATATCCACTTGAATGGATATCGTGACTGGTATGTCGACGATACCCAGTGTTAGGATATTATGACATCTCTGAGTATTTATTACACAAAATAAAAGGACTCGGGGTGTGGGTATGGGTGTTTAGATCAAGACCCGCACCGACACCCACACGCTCACCCGAATGTCCCATCTGTGTAGACAATTTCATCACGATCTGACTCTCCTTTCGAAAGTTATCGTGTAAACGCTCGGCCGGACATACTGACCGATTCTAGAGTGTACTCGCTTTTTGAGTACACAAAAATGAGGTAATAATAATACTCGTGTTGCTATTTTTATCACTGTCGATGCTTACTTCGTTTTGTTGAGATCTATATAGCAAAATTCATTCTTTCTCTTCATCTCATATCACTACATACCCTACTTTTTAGCATACAATGCTTTATTTGAATTTAATGTGAATTCAAAAACACCGTTTTATTTCAGAATGAGAAGAGCATTCAGTGGAAAAATAATATAGACGCCGAGTATTGATCTATTAGTTCAATCTCCCTTTGACAGAAACTGATTTAGATCTAGCGGTACGAGTTTGTCAGAAATTTCACGAATTCGACGGTTTTCCATCGTATCTTCTTCACCATGAGGGCTTCATTAAGCAAGTATCATTAATAGAAGCTGTACCTAATTAAAACTTCATTAATTCTTGTATAAAATGTAATAACAGGTAGAAAATACAAACCTAATTTATTTTTTACCGCACATACGATTCTTTATCAAAAATGAGAAATTTACTTTCGTACCGTATCATAAACGATTTCTTACAAAAACTTTCAGACCTTTTGCAGTCCCCAACAAGTAACAAAAACTTTGTACTAAAAGAAAAAACCGATTTTCATTTTACAAAATCATAAAATTTCCGCCAATAATCACATGATTTTGAGAATTCCACAAGAGACATTCTTTTCGGAATGGCTATATTCAAATGGTTCCTTCTAGAATGGTCTAATACTGGTTGCATGAATAATGCACGAATTCATCACAAAGCATTCTTATTAACAAATGGAAAAGTATTAGTTACTGGTGGTTATGCTGATAGTGATATTCTACATAGTGCTGAGTTGTATGATCCATTAAAAGAAACTTGGGCAACTACTGGTAGCATGAATAATCCACGATATGGGCACACAGTATCCGTATTAACAAATGGAAAAGTATTAGTTACTGGCGGACACAATGATACTGATACTCTAAATAGTGCTGAGTTGTATGATGCAGGTACAGAAACCTGGAAAGCTATTAGTAGCATGGATAAAGCACGATATTATCACACAGCATCCGTATTAACAAATGGAAAGGTATTAGTTACTGGTGGACTTCGTAATGATGCTATTCTAAATAGTACGGAGCTGTATGATCCATTAACAGAAACCTGGACAACTACTGGTAGCATGAATAATCCACGATTTGATCACACAGTATCCCTATTAACAAATGGAAAAGCATTAGCTGCTGGTGGAGTTGGTAATATTCAGGAATTAAATAGTGCTGAACTGTATGATTCATTAACAGAAACTTGGACAACTACTGGTAGCATGAATAATACACGATATTATCATACAGCATCCGTATTAAAAAAATGGAAAAGTATTGGTTACTGGTGGAGTTGGAGATAGTGATGCTTTGAATAGTGCTGAGTTGTATGATTCATTAACAGAAACTTGGACAACTACTGGTAGCATGAATTATGCACGATCTGTGCACACAGCATCCTTAATAACAAATGGAAAAGTATTAGTTACTGGTGGATACGATAATATGGGTATAGTAAATAGTGCAGAACTATATTAATCATTTCAAACAAATTAACATAATAAACGGCTGTTGAGCTTTAATACGATCAGTCTCGTCGCCAAGAAATATCCTTAGAGCACAAGTGTCTTATTTTAATAACGATGATTCTTTTCTAGACAAACATTTTTTAATTGCTTTATCTCTAAAAATCTATATATAACAGCACATTGTTTATATCTCTGGAATTTTGATAGTCAATCTAACTGTTGTAGAAAGGCTAAGCGACTATGAATAGGTTGATTGCGGTGAACGCTCTCATCAAGCGCTTATTTTAACGAAGATCCAATTTTCATTTTCAAACATAAAGGGACAAATTTCTTACAGTAAGTGAGTTCTCAGTTAAGAGTATACATTGCTTAATGATGTCAAAATATTAAATTACTTGCGTTATACACATAAACACTAGCAAGTGAACTAAATGGACTTTCCAGAAAATTGCGTCGGGTTCAATGACTAAGTTAAGATCAAAGCTCGAAACGGGAAAGTTTCTTGGTCCTTATCTCGTTCAGCCTGATCCCGACCTTGGATCTGTTATTCGTTTCCCACCCACTTCGTTCTGCTCCAAGGGGAAAATTTTATTCGTGCCAAAACTTCGCTCTAATTCGATGCTGCGCTTCAGTCCCTGATACTAATCAATATGTGTGAAGAAGAAAAACGATAGGAGAGAGCAAAAATGACGTTAGTCAATAGAAAACAAAATGAAATCTGATACTAGAAACCATTTTGATACCATGGAAATCAAGACAAAAACACTAGCTAAAACCTTTGTAATTCATTGTAAACTTCTAATCTACCTTATATATTCAAGTTCTAACGGCAAGAAAATATTTAATGACGACCTACGAATGAAAAGGCATAATTTTTCAATAATTCACAGAGATTTCAGAATACTGAATTGTACTTAGGAGAAGTGGGCATGATTTCAATATGTAACTGGTAGTCAATAAAGAATGAAACATTTTTAGTTTAGCTTTTTGAGAAATTAGAAACACACTTCATAGTTTTTATTTAAACCTCAACAAATAAATCATTCTTCGCTCTGAAAAAATCCCGACTTTGTTTTTCAGGTCAGTTTTTCTTATCGACGAAAAATTAAACAAACTAAGTACTCAATCGCACCACTGCCGCCCCCGATACTTTCGGTGAACATCGATCGATTTGTGTAAGGTTGTGTGCCATCAAGTGCTATTCTATATCAAAACTTTTGTACTGTACACTTCTTGCATCTTCACAATGCTCACGATACTGTTGCTCACAATTAAAATGTTTGGAAGTAATATATGGAGGTATTTTTTAGATGTGCTCTTGTAAGCATACTTTTCAAAGTTAGAGGCACACTATGAAAGATTTACTAGCATACCATCTTATGCAGAATTTAAGTCTAGAAAATTATATAAATTTTAAACTGAACAAAGAAAATATTTAGATTGCTCCGAAATAAGAACAAGCATTGCTGGAGGTCTGCTAGAAAAGAGTCTTTGACAGGGTTTTCAAATTATTAGTGGCGAAAGTTTCCCTGAAATATTTTTTTTGAAAGGGTCAAGGTATGAGTATGGGTGTTACTGTAAGTCAACACAAGATCCTAACCCACACGCTCACACCCTAAACATTTTTCTCTTTCATAATAATCAGTTTTCATACTTTGTAACGACTAATAACCGAGAAAAAATATTTCATTTATTACCTATCAAAAAAGAAGACATATTTTCTTTCTCTTTTTCTCCATTGCTGAGTCATCAGAAAAGAGCCGCTTAGATTCAGAACGCTATTTATCATGAAAGAGGGCGCTCTATAACGGAGTCATTCGTAGACTACAAAGAATAACATTTAAACAATTCGTTAAATTCATATACACACCCACACTCTCACACCCTCAAGAAGTGTTGCAATACCTTCCGATTGTAGTAGAATTTTATGAAGTGCCAATCAGACGTTGATCTTTCCTCTCTAAAACTTTTCACAAAAAAGTGCCTTCTTACTAAGCGGATTTAGTCTATACTCAGTTTCATGCTTCATATCCAAAGAAATTTCCAGAGTCATTAGTACCAAAGTTCAAATATATTCTGGGTTTGGTTGTACTCTTAGCATTTATCTAAAGAGTAGCGAGAGTGCAAATATCCTGCAAATTATTTTTCATTTCGTAGTATACCATGCCTCAATATTTTAAACTGAACATATTAGTATTTTGAACCTTTTTTAACGATCTTTATTGTATTCATAATAAGCAGATATTTTTATATTAGAAAAACTACTAACTGGCGTAATGTTTCTAATTCACATTTGAGATTATTTGGCGAAATTTAATGAATATGAGATACATATGTATGTGCCTATTGTTTATCATGTAAATGCAATTATTTTCAAGAAAATAATTCGCAACGAAGCACTGAAAGTATCAATTAAATAAAATGGCTGATCCTGGGAGAAATGGATAAACAATAGAATCATTTGCTGTTGATACTGCTATTCGTACTTAACCTCAAAGTGTATCAAGCTTAGCTTTAATAACATCTTAAGAATTCGTTGGCATTTCTAATTCCGAAGAACCTCTAGAAATTCAATAAGCGACAAAATAGTGGATTCTACAAAAAAAACAATTGTAATTGTTGCGTTTAACAATAAATTTACATCAAAGCGCTCCTGGCATCAATTCATATAATTATATCAGACTCTTTCTTTGATTCTAAAGCAGTACGATGGGAATTTAGATGCGCTATGCTTTTCCATTGAAATTTTCAAAACTACTACGAAAGTTTATGTCCAGAATTGCCGTCAGCTGTTCGATTCGTGCGCAGAATGTCCTCCATAAAACGTTTAAATTCCTCTTGATATTCGTTTATTTAGATTCATCAACTAGCAGATCGCTTAGATTTGTTAAGGCATCTTCACGGTGACCGTGGAACAGTTTGGAAATAAATGATTGTTACTTTGAGAGAAGAGCAACTTTCTGGTGAGATTCCGAATTCTACATGCTTAACTCTCGGATTGCGCAACTCCATCCTAAATATTAAACGACATATTGACTTATACAAAGAACAGCTAATTCAAGAACCGTATGGAACCATTTCAAAATATTATTATTACAAAGACATAATATCGCAGATAGAATTAACATTTCATCATTGAGAGCTAGTATAGTTAGGTAAAGTATCCATTCGGATGCTCTTTCATCTGTCAACAATGGTGTTTTGTGTACAATATAAACCATCACTCTAGTCATAATGAAACGTAGCATACACCAAGAAACAGTTTCACATTTTTTCTCCGTATAATCGTCCATGACTTCAGAAAAATAGTACAGCAGCGTAGAAGTTATCGAACAAAAAGATTTTCTCATTGATACATTTACTAACATAAGCAGAATCAGAAAAAATAAGATTGTGAAATAAATAAAAACTATCGTTTCAAGTGATACATGTTTTTATGTAATGTACTAAGCAGTACACCTAAGAGAAAATATACAAAATTATAAACCTTTGTTTTTCGGTATTGTACTATGCATAATTTTTTTTTAAACTTGTATATCACTTCTTGTTCAATGAAATTACACATCTTTCTATTATTAATGCAATGTGAAGCACAGAATTGACGCTCACCGATGCGATTTTTAATGAGAGAACCACTACAACTGAGTAGTTGTTTACGAGCTGTTTTCATTTACGTTTTCTTTCTTCCTTTTTTCCTTACGTAAATTACAGAAGAAGGACGCACTTTATAACGTCATTCAAATATTCATTCTTTGGTTCTCTGCTCCGTGCGTCAAACTATAACATAAATTTTATTTAGAGAAAAAAAAGCAGATGTCACTTTTTTCGTTCTCTTAGTCACATTTACTTTGGCTACGCCTACAAGAAAAAAATTACGCATCAATTATTTACTTTTTTTCGCTTGCAAAATAATCACTCCTATAAAAAAAAATGATTGGCGAAAAAGAAACATAATAATGATGAAAAAGTTTCTTTTACTTTTAACGGATGAACAAAGTTAATCCTAGCCAACAAGAAATCGCTATGACATCAAGACAAGAACGATTAACAACTGCTGCTTACCAACAAGGTAAGTTATAAGCTTCCGAATATTTCTTTTTTTTTCATAGATTTTGTTTATCTATAATCATCTGCCAACAAATAATATGTAAACTGTTGTACAGAGTTTTATTTCGAGAAATTATCGATATAATAAATTTTTGTGTTTTCAATGGTTAGTGAAGCATAGTTTGCTTCAATAATAATAAAAAGCAGACTAAAAAGATTTTAAAAAGAATTTAGTATTTTTCGTTTGAAAAACAATTCACTTTGGTAGTTGAATATGTATTATAACGAATAATTAATTAATAAATAATTGCGATCGATTTTTGGAAAAGCTAGGAGAAAAGAGCATTGAAAAGTGAAACATTACTTTGTGACACGGGTGAGCAAACCATTTACAAGTTCTGTTGAACTTTTAACAACTAAGTTTCGACCTACTCTCAGCTGCATGAAATCGTCTCAATTAGTCTAGACTGCAAAACAATACATAGATATAAAAGATATTAGTTTTATCAATTCAATCATGCCATTCTAAAAATCACTGACTCGAGCATGACTCTAAAGTCAAGACATTACTTTAGACGAGTATCATCGGCTCTATGAAACTCATATAATTCATTGCTATAAATCATTCGGTAGCCCAGACTAGCTTAAACTCAACGCCATTGAAACTCGAACAAAACATTTTAGCTGTAAGAGTTTCTGTAGAACTCATTGAATGACCCGCTCAAATGACACATCTAACACTGTTTCTTCAAGCTCACGTTTTCTTCTTACTGCTGTGAAAGAAAGTAGCTATTTCTTTGTAAGGTTCTTTCCCAGTAGTACACCATTCAATCAATTGAAAATAACTGATCCTAATACACTTCCTTCATTGATCGATGCTCCACGAAAATATCATGCGTTTTAAACTTTCACTGCTTACGTTCACATTTTCTTCTGTAATATTAGACCGCATGGCAAGTGCTGAAGAAGGTATTGGAGCCTGTGGTTGGGTTCTGGTCATATTATCTTATATACTTTGTGCATTAACATTTCCATTCTCACTTTGTTTTATTATCAAGGTAAGAAAGAAAACAAAATGAAATTATTTTATATAAATCAAATTCTTTTTAAAAGGTTGTACAAGAATATGAACGAGCAGTTATTATGCGTCTTGGTCGAATTCTTCCTGGTAGAATTATGATGAAAATGTCATCAAAATACTATTATTGTATTTTGCAGGTGGTGCGAAAGGTCCTGGCTTATTCTTTGTTCTACCTTGTGTTGATTCAATAATTAACATTGATTTACGAACTGGTTAGTCGTTGTTTTGTCAATTTCTTACATTCGTAGAATTATTATTTCATTTCGTGATTATATATTTTTTCTAGTTACTTTCAATGTTCCTCCTCAAGAAATTCTTACACGAGATTCAGTGGTTCGTAATTGAAAGAATTGTCGACAATCGTTAGTTTTTTTCTTTGATATAGACAGTTTCGGTTGATGCTGTTGTTTATTTCCGAGTATTTAATCCTGTAATGAGTGTAACTAATGTTACAGATGCATCTACTTCAGCACAATTACTTGCAGCTACAACACTTCGAAATATTTTGTAAGTGATTTAGTATAAATAAATAAAATGTTACTTTTTTTTAATTATAGAGGTACGAAAACGTTACATGAAATTTTAACTGAACGTGAAACTATTGCGCATTTAATGCAAACTCATCTTGATGAAGGAACTGAACCATGGGGAGTGAAAGTTGAGCGTGTTGAAATGTGAGTAGATTGAGTTAATTCTTTCATTTTTCTTTGTTAAGAAGTTTGACCATTTAATTCAGAAAAGATGTTCGGTTGCCTGCCAGTATGCAACGTAGTATGGCTGCTGAAGCTGAAGGTCAGAATTTATTATTTGATTAAATAATTAGATTTGATTTGTTTTGTTTTTGTAGCTGGTCGAGAGGCTCGTGCAAAACTCATAGCCGCTGAAGGTGAACAAAAAGCATCTCGATCATTAAAGGTAAGATTTTGTTTCTTGACTTTTATAGTTTATAAATAATTTTATATATTCAGGAAGCGGCTGATATAATTAATGAGAGTCCAATTGCATTACAATTACGTTATCTTCAAACATTAACAACTGTATCAGCTGAAAAGAATTCAACAATCGTTTTTCCAATACCTAGTAAGTCAAAAACTACATTGGTCATTGTTATTCTCACTATTTTTTTTAGTCGAACTTTTACAATTAGTAAAAGCTAGAGGCTCTGGTGGATCTTCAACTTTTTGAACTGTACTAATATCTGTCATGTTTAGATAGTCCAATTGCTCTTTATCAACAAGTGATATTTTCCTTTATTTATATTAATCAAGCTGAATGTGTGATGTGGAGTGTTATGTCTTTGCCAACAAACAATAAAAGTCTAAATCTCGAAGAAGAGAACAATGACTAAAGAAATTTGGCAGAAGGGTGTGGGTGTGGTTGACTGCGGAACAAGGCAATCCACATGTACCTACTTATATACAATCACATACCACACCCACTCTCTGGTTCTTCTCATATCTCACTCTCCAGGCTAACCTTTGCTTTCTTTTGCTGTAGTCACTTGTTAGGGACATGTTCTTCTATATATCTTGAGGTGTCTCCATATCGACGTCATGTACATCAGCGAGTTCCAACTATTACGTATGTCCCAGAAAAGTTCAGCTTACTGTAGACTTTTGATAAGAATTGATTACCCATATTATCACATGCGTCTTAGTATTATCAACAAATATTTTAAAAATAACGAACATTTTATTTTTGTTCAGTAGGTTCTTTTTTATTTTGATTCATTATAATTAATTGAAAGGTGATAAAATAAACAATCGATATATCATAGAGAATTACATTGTAGACAAAGTAGCACCGACTCATAGATTCAAATATTCACGTGTTCTTGCTCATCTTGTTTTATTAAACATACATAAAAGTGTAGTGTCGATGAAAATAAATTCCGTAGTATAACATGATGAATATCAATGTTTGCATCATGTTTATTTTTTCCTCTTTCTCTCAAATCTTACTTTGAGCAGAATAACAGACAGCTGTTGTTGAAATGAAACAAATGTACTTCTTAAGACGAAATGTGTTGATAGAAGTTGAATCACTCCGGAACACAAACACGAAGCGATCTATGGTTGTCATTACACGAAACTTAACACTGCGCAACTGAAATCTATGCATGGTTCAAAAACTTGTGAGATAGTGCTTATAAATTTTCCTCAGAAACTCCGAAAATAACTCTCTCGATTAGAGAAGAATTATTATATATTATACCGTAGCACATCCATCTTCTGAACCAGGATCCACTCTACAAAACTACAAAAGCCGCCATACATTCTTTCATTTTTCAGCCAGATTAGTGGCACTTATTCACCACTGGAATCACTTAAAATCACTATTTCTACTCCGTTCAGATACGATCTCTCTAACGTTCCCCGTGTTATAAAACAACTCGTAGATATCCAACAGAAGTATCTTTAATACCCAGCATCAATCTTTATAATGAAGAATTGAAACTATTATCGTCCCAAATAAAGTTCAATATCCTTGATTTCCATATTTACTAACAGCCATCTGGCTAATGATTATATGCATATACATTTTCGTTTTCGTGATCATATTATTAATTCCATTATTAACCATTTCGATCAAGTAATTAAAACTATATCAACAGCAACAACAACAGCAGCGACTGATCCAAATTCATCGTTATCACCGTCAAAATCCGATCTTGTTCAATCTACTAAAAAATCAAAAGTCATGCCGTGTTAGATTCGAATAGCAAAAAACATTTTGAACATCTGAAGTTGAAGAGACAAAAACACACAACCTAAAGAGAAATACGTCATCAATGGACTGCTACACTTAATAAACAATATCTTGATTCACTCCAAGTCAAATATTCTCGTATTTCATCTGTTTACAACAAAATTCTTCGAATAGTGTTTAACAATCAATATGACCAAGATCTTGCTTCTGAACAGCTTAGAATCGACATATTTGATGAGAACCATTATTAAGAATTTGTTAATAAGAATCATAAGTTCTTTGATGATATGTTTTTCTTTATGTTTATGTAAAATAGTTTCGTGCTTTTCTTCTTTCTTTTTTTGGTTCAGTAATGATGTTTTCTTATCATGTTTTGTTAAAGTTTTTTGTTTTTTTGTTGATTTTTTTAATGAAGTTTTCTGTAAAATTTTTAAGATTTTTTTTTAATTTGATCAATTGAAAAAATGAACGACATATTGTATGAACTAAATTCTACATTCCTTTGAAATAGTCTGCTTTTGGGGTAACTGTAAATCATAATAAGTTTAAACATACCCAGGTTGATCAAAACGGACTCGTTTACGGTCTGTTTGTCGACGGTAAACAATGTCAAAACGGTATCTTTACGACAGTAAATAGGCCGTATTTGCCCGTAATACCTGGCGCAGTAATACGGCATCGTAAGCGGGACTGAATTTTCATGGTTTACGGTTGTTTGTGCTCCGTACTCTCATGATATTACGGTCCGTATTACTGCGCCAGATATTACGGCAAAATTTCGCCCGTAAAATCGTCGTAAAGTAACCGCCAATGGCCGTATACGGACCGTACTGTTCGACCTGGGTATGTATAAGATATGGATGTGATGCAAATATTTAAACACATTTTACATATCATTTATTTATTAATCTTTATATTCTAGCTTGTTGAATAATATTGATCTAAATCTGACTTTCCAGTAATTAATTAATCTGCTTATATTTACTTGCTTCCAATTACATTAATTCGATTAATATTATCGCCACTTTAGTATTGTCATTTTGATAAGTAGTATCAGATTAATTTTCGTTTTCATTAGTTGTATTGTTGTTAGTATTATTACGGTTATTGTTATATTATGACGTCAAAGGATAGTATTGAGGATTCTCTTTCTATGGTATATATCTTTCGACCTTTTCTCATAGACACTAGGAAGGAATTTCAGATTGTACTATAGAAAAGATGCTCACATTGAAAGACTACTTTATCATTTACCTTTCACATACTATTTTTCTTCATAATTATGAATATCGACAACGTAAAATTCTGCTTAAGTAATAATTACGATTGTCATGTCCTACTTACTTATTGTTAGCGTTAGTGATGGATCACACTAACGCTAAACGAAGATTAATACGTTCTTCTAGTCTAACTGGTAGGACAGCTGCCCAGATAGCAGAAGGTATGGGTTCGATCCCCATGAGGGTCATATTTTTCTTCGTTCTGTCACATAACATCAGTGACACTGCTTGTCTCTTTCGCTCTTTATATATCTCTCTTTCATTCCTTATATCTTCCTTTCATTCTATACATATTAGAGCTAACACTTATCGTACCGCCAAAAAATACTATCTCCGTCTCGGGCTAGTTCGGTTAGATATTCATTTTCTTAAATCTTGCCGATCTAGAGATATTATACCTAAATTTTTATGGTTTAAAACTGCTAACAAAAATCTAGCTTCGTTCTCGGCATATAAACAAAGTCAACATCGTTTATTAAATGCTGAGATTAAATACAAATATCAACATCTGAATAAACTTAAGAGAATGTACCGATCTTCAATTATTTTACTTGAACAATATACTGTTCTGGAATTTTATTGGACATCTTACAACATATAATAGCTACTATTTGCTGTCTTGTCATTAAACAGAAAGAGCAAACCATTGAAAAAAAATTGTACCGCCATTCTCTTCGTAATCAAACAAAACATATCGTTAATTGGGAAGTTGTCGAAAATCTCGCGACACGAATATTATCGAATGATGAAATCGGCTGTCTTGATCAGTCTCAACTATGGTCTAGTTTCAACATGTTTTGATAAAATGAATGCTGTTGGAAATATTGAAAATTTTTCCATCGCATTTTACGAATGTCTTCCAGCATCATAAAAAGCTCATGGCAGACCTAAAAGACAAAGATCCAGTGATGGAGAATAATATTCGTGTATTGAATACCAAAGAGATTATGTTAGCCAATAATCTTCGTGGTCTAACGGATACTTTCCGATTCAAAGTTAACCAATATCAAAGACATCAACATATGGTTCATAACGAACAAAAACGATACCACCAATTGTTGAAACAACTTAGACAAGTCTATTATTATTACTCGCCCAGACAAAGGTCGAGGTGTGGTATTGATGAACAAGAATGATTATGTATCAAAAATGAATTAAATACTAAATGATTCCAGCAACTTTAAGTTTCTCTCTGATAATCTTATAGTTGCCAAGGCTCTCAAACGAATGTTATCAAACATAGTACAAAATGAGGTGATCATTAAGGATTCATTGGCATTTGTCAGTCAGTTCAAATCATTAGGTGCAAATTATTCTTCATTCAAGATGGTTTCATTTGATGTAGCCAGTCTGTACACAAATATACCTCTTGATGAAACTTTGAAAATTATTTTGGACCATTCATATAATGATGAAACACCAACACCACCAATAAAAAGAGAAGACATGAAGAAATTATTGGAATTTGCAACGAAACATTCTCATTTCCTCTTCAATGGTAAAGTTTATGATTAAATTGATGGAGGCTCTATGGGATCGCCTTTGACACCTCTTGTCACTGGGATCTTTCTTCAAGAATTCGAAAAGAAATGGACATCATATACTGGAAACTGTATGTCGATGATACTTCTGTGTTACTTACACCAGAAGTTTCTGAAAAAGACATATATAACCGGCTATCACAATGCCATCGATTTATACGTGAATTAGCATTAAACAATGGTTATCTACTCGCCTTCGTTGAAGCAGTGATTCAAAGGCAACTCCATTTAGTATACACACCTCGTGTGATTAAACCGGCATTACCTGAAACGGATACCATAGTCTTGAGAGTACCGTATTATGGGAAACCAAGTCAAATTTATACAAAACGTGTTACAGTGGGAGCTGCTAAACTAGATCCATCGAAAAAGATGCGAGTTGACCAGAACTTTTCTGCTAAAGACCAAATATTAACTGAATTAAAATCGGGTGCCGTTTACGAGACAACTTGTCCTGAATGCAATGATAAATATATAGGAAAACCTGTCGACACTTGAAAACACGAATTTATACGAACATTTATTTGACCAAAAAAAGTTCATATCTCCGCCATTACAACCATCCGAAAGTAAATTAAATAAAAATGTGACATTTAATAAAATAGTTACTACTCAGAATGGCCGTATGAATACTAGATTGAAGACACGAATGATGAAAGGCGTGTAGAACCAACAAAATTCAACAGCCAGACCTTCCGAATTACCATAAAATGCTGCACATTCAAAACGCGCATTTAATGTCAATAAAGTCAAAAAACAGGTTCATATGACCAGGTGACAATCGAAAAAATTACCACCATTAAAGCATAATCTTGAAGAAGACGTTATGCAAACAAGCTTATTGAATACTACTCTAGTAGACGAAACTGGTAAAAATCTTGTTCCAAAATCAGCATTGTCAAAACACTATATATCTACTAGTCACACGTTCACGAATGAACACTTCAAAATAATACTATCCGACCATCATAAATACAGAATATTGATAAAAGAATCTTGAATGTATGGGTGCAAACTCAGATCATGTATGGTACGTGCTAGTGTGGTTTTAAGCGTAACTTTTTTTGTGAATGTGAATGTTAGTGACGAGAAATCTAGAAAGTGTGGGTTCACTGCTCAGGTCTATAATCGCCCACATCCGAGCACATTGAAACAAAATTTACATTCAATTTATCAAAATGAAACAACTATTCATGTAACATCTGGAAGCAGTATCAATCATATGTCAGCATCTAATAATGTCACATTTAGTAATCTGATCAATTTTCATTATTACTGTAATAATAGCTATATGTGAAATATTTAGATAATTCGATTGAAGATCAATAATTTAACTCTTATACTCAAATTCAAATAATAAATAAGCAAGAAATTATATATAATCATAACATGGCTAGCTCAAATTTTAATACTTCTTCCTATCCTACTAAACAATTATCTATTATTACTCAAAGTAATATAATCAAACAAATCAATAGTATCTTAATCATTACAAAAAAAACATGAACTAATAAATATTCTTCTGTTTTTTGTAAACAATATTGAAAATAATATTCAATCAAATTCTATAGGTCCAGTTCTCAACGGTATTCTAGTAAATAAAACGATATTCGTCTGTATATAAAAAATTATTTCATAGGTACAATCGTTTCTAATAACAATGTAATCAACTCACAAGAAGTACGAAATTCTACTTCCCTTATGAAAAAAGATTTTTCAATATTACCAGTTACCAATAATTTATTAGCAACATCTAACATGATAGAACAAATAGATCGTGTTTCGTCAAATATAAACTACCAAAATCAGTATCTATCTACAACATCAAAAGAAACCATTGTACCATGTACAATAATAAACTCATCCAGTATTCCAAAAACAGCAACATTATAAATCACAATCGAAATTCACATAACTCAAACGGTATTGTGACACGCTTTGTAAATTATCTCCTAACATATTTTAACTTGAAAAAAGACAATTTTTCACAGTCTATATACCAAACAATGTATTGGTTTTCTTTTACATAAACATTAAAAAACATGAAATGCCTAGTTCGAATTCGAATATAAATGGACACCCAACTGCATGATATCAATTCGAAAATAAGTGATAGAAATAGTTTTAGTTTTATATTTAGTTTAAGATGGAGTGCGCGTGGGTTGAGGGGGACTAAGGGATAACTGTGGGTGAAGGCTACCTGGACGGGGTGCATCGGGTATCTGGGATACTTCAAATGCGGTTGTGAGTGCGGGTGAGGGGTATATACGTATTCATATGTCGCATATATCGGAAAGTTAAACTAAAACTAAATCTAGGAATAAATTTAGTTTTAGTTTAACTTTTTCTTTTCTTCATTTATATTCGAACTCGAATTAGACAGCTAATTCAGAAAACTTTATTCTACTAAATTGAAAACAAAAATAAATAAAACTTGTAATAGCAGTGCCAGGTGCTCTAACACAAACTCCTACCCATCCATCAGTACATAGATCACACGAATGACGAAGTGAATGGTATTGTGCGACCTGTACATTCTCTTAATGCATATTCCACTATTCGAATTTTAGGTGTTACATAACCACTAACACCTTCAATAATAAGCAAAGAAAAAAAAAGATATAACACTGGATGTTTTGAAAGCCCCCCTCTCAAAAGAGATACTTTTAAATAACACTCTCTTGTGCTGTGTTGGGTACAGCTAGTTGAAGTTTTTCATGGCTACTTAATGCTTTCCTATAGCTATTTAATGTTCTCCCACAGCTACTGAATGAAGCTACAGCTACTTAATATTCGCCTATGGCTACTCAATTGAGCTAGGGCTACCTGAAATTACCTGTGACTGTGTAGACATTCGATAGATATTCAAAATTTAGTGTAAGCTTTGCATCATTCACTAGCTTCTGGAAGATTCGATGAGTATCGAAAGAGTGTCATCGTTATATCAATTAACGAAGAGGTATAGAGACAAGATAGTAATCTATATGTATGGATTTCGTGTGTCGTTTTGATAATACTTCATGTGAAAATTTATTCAGAAGTCCAAGTCAAGGGTATGTTTTTACATTTATGATCTTCATAACAAATCGTAATTATCCGTTTTTTCTTGGGCAGAATCGATAGTTTTCTGCAATGTTAAAGAATAGCTGGTTTTATTATAAGTACCACAAACACATGACTAAATATAGACTTAATGATATTTGTCAAATTTTACTAATTTTTCTACAAAAGGTGCAGATTTTTGTATTTCGGCTTCTGGAAGATTAATACAATTGTAAACATTATGAATTTTGAAAAAATTAAAATCGTTGGTTTGAAAAGTTGTTTTTGTATTAGTTTCAAACATAAAATTAGAATCAACATGTTGATTTATGATGTTAAACATGTTTTCATTATGTTCAGATAATATAGTTGTACTTTGTAACTTGGGAATTTTAAGCTCAAATTGATTATTTTCTAGATAAATTACTTGTAAATTTGAATGAGTGATTTATTAGAGTTAGTACTCAATGAGCCATTTACGTGGCTAAAAAAATACTTCAACTAAGGATTGACCTACAGTAAAAAGTTCAAGCGAAACAAATGTACTCTTAAAGAGATATAAGTTTCAGGAAAAAATCACCAAAAAATATCATTTTTTGATGGGGTGATCGCAGAAAAAGTTTAATAACTTAGGAACGGAGCGACATTTCTTAAAACGACTTGTGTAGCAGCTTATCAAATACTAGTCTCTATAACGTATTTATAAATGATTTAAATCGGTGACCATCGATTGAGCAGGGGTTAGTTGTAGGTTAGCTGAATTAGTTCACAGAAAACTTTGTCTTGATATATACACGTATTGTTATTAGTTTTCTAAAAACAATTATGTTTATAGATGAATTGAATATTAAGACAATGTACAAAATCATTTTGTTAAAATTTAACACGAATTTAAACTAGATTTTTTGTTACATATGTATACGTAAGATTGGAAGGTAGTGATAAGAAAATATAGTCAAGATAGATGTGAGAATGAACTAAGTTTGGATTCTAAATTGTTTTCAAATGTAGTGAAAGTCAATTTCGTGTACAATATCTATATAAACATACGTATGTATAGATATATTCAGGTGTTCTTCTTCATAATATTATTAGCCTTTCATATATAGATTCTTTATGAAATTATGAGGTATTTTATTTTCACATAACAGCGAGAAAAGAAAAAGAGAATAATGTGGAGTTGTAAGTTACATACAAAAAAAGTACCTTATTATCATAGAGATCGATTAGCTATGCAAATAATCTTGCGTGGCAATCCTTTTCAATATCTGCAGCACCATTCTCATAGCTATGAAAAGGTTACAATAGTTATAAAATAGAGAAAGAAATATTTAATTTTCTTTAAACAGCTATTAGTTTATAAATAGCGATTGGTTTTTATCATTAGCTATGAATTTCTATAATAAATCGTTGATTAACACCTAGAAATGAGTAGTGCACTTCAGCTTTCTCCAGTTTTTTTAAAATAAGAAGAAGAATCTCATCAGATAAATCACTTAACTCCACCGATGAACCTTGCATGTTTAACTTCACCTATCGATTTATTTTCATTTATATAGATTTATTCAATTTGACCGATTCCGTCAATGAAAACAATGACATAACATTTTTTCTCTTTCTGTTAATTACTATAGTGGCGAACATGAATGCTGTTTATAATAAATCTAATAGAATAAACAATATGGCATTATGCTAAAAAAAAATGTATCTTGAAAAGTAAAATATGATTGTTTATTTTAATTTCCATAAAATATACTAAAAATGAATATTTGACATCTGTTTGCATTTTTTTCCTTAGATTTCCTTGTTTACAAAATAATTGTATCAAAAAGAAAACATTTCGGAAAACAAAATGAATACTCTTTATAGTAGAAATCATCATCAGACGAATAAAAAATATGTATCCACTCATTTTAAGTCACAAATTTATAAATTTGATTATGAGATCAAAAGAAATAGATTAACTCTTCTCAGTGGACGATACGAGAGTATACTGTATTGTTCGTCTGTGTCTGAGGAGAGAACATGTTCGTAATGACAATATACATTTGTATAAGCAATAATGAAGGTAACAGGAACAATGAAAAATAGACAAAAACATTGGATGATCTTTTGAAGGAGAGTTGCTTTTGATATGATTGATACAGATAACTGTCTAGCAAAACTACACTTGTTCTTCATATATCTCAATTATTTGCGTCAATTTATGATGACATAAAATAGTAAAGACGATATTATTCCAATTCAATTCATAGTGAAATGCTTGAAAATTCCAGCTAAGCATGCAATTATTTTACTGTAAAAGAGTGATGTGAAAGCTATTTGTGCTTAGTTTTGGAAGCTTTCTTCCTGAAATCTTCTGTCTTATCAGTTGAATAGAATGAAAACTATGTTTGTACATTATCTAATCTTTTTTCTCTCGTACATATCCTAATCATTTTTTATCTTCATCAATAAAAAAAGAAATCAAAATTCGTATTTGATCTTTCCTCTTCTTGTTCAATTGAAAAAGAAAATATCTAACGTCATCTTCTCTGTTGAATGTATGATCTAAATTCAAATGAAAAAAAGATACCGAAGCTATCCTCTTTATTACCGTTTTCTCCCTCCCTTTATACGAAGATCAATAATTTGTAACAAAGAAATCCTTTTCTTTCTAAATTAATAAATTATATTCTACCGGAAATCAAATTTTTTTCCAACAGGATTATTGCTTTAGAAAGATATCTTTACATTACAATTATTCAGAAATAATTAATTGTATTAAATATTGACAAAAATCATTGGAAAAAAAGGACGCCTTAAAAATATCTTTTACTTTGAAAGACTTCAAGTTCACATTTGCAGCATTGAAAGTAGTTGTATTTGCTTGATAAAAATAAGAATAATTCTAGATCCACAATGACATGTAATCTATGAAGAATAGTGTCTATAGTGAAATTACAAAGATATTTTATACGTCGAATACAAAATCATATTTGTCAAATACTCTTTGGAACTGTCGTATGCATGTCTATTACTTATCTCACCTATCGTCGTTGCATGTGTCCGATTATTCACCAGAACTAATAATCTTAATTCAACCCATGTAATAAAAACCGCATGAAAATCGGCGGTTAACCGCGGTTTTACCGATCCGGTTACCGGCTCCCATTACCGTAGAACGGATAAATACCGCGGTTTACCGCAAAAAATGATCCGACATTTACCGCGGTAAACCGCCGGTTTTGATTAATACCGCGGTTACCGCTAAAAAAAGCGGTTAACCGGTTCGTCTATAATCTTTGACAGAAAAAGTCTTCCAAATCATCAATTAAACTATTTTAACCATCCTTCTTTTTACTTTTACATGTGATAAACATGAGCAAAAAACCGCCGGTTTACCGCGGTTTTACCGATCCGGTTACCGGCTCCCATTACCGCAGAACGGATAAGTACCGCGGTTTACCGCAAAAAATGATCCGGTATTCGCAACATGGGCACCCACACCCACATCCATTTATTGTTTGTGTTTATGATTACAATCAATATTCCTTCTGAACTGCACAAAATTTTGCATCATCGACAGTTTCGTAGGACTTTCTATATATATATATATCGATAGCACAATTTCAATATATCTACTTCATAGAAAAACTGATAAAACATTTTTCTAACAAAAATAGAGCTAAATGAAGACAGTTATTTTTAAATTTCAACCGGTGATTTTCCGATATTTATCGGCCCGGTTGAATTTCTGAACCTGATCGTTTTCTGATTTTGAAAAACAAAATTCTGATTTTTAGGATTTTCATCTGGCCACTGATGATATCTATCGAATTGAAGCGAAACAACATGGATGGATGGATGGTTGTAACGTATGAATTTATCTCATTGTTTAATAAATTTTGTATGAAATATGAAATGAGGTAGATATTTACACTTCGGTTCGGTTCACAGGTTTGGTTCACTACTGTGCACCATCAACGTTCTTAATAGAAATCTAAAATAGGATGTAGACATGAAAATACATCCTATTTCGCAATGTTGAACATTCCGGAATCAGTTCCGCTCACGGAACCAATTCCATCTAATACCCGGAATTCATTTTATCACTTCCGACTCAATTCTGGAATTCAGTGCACCCGCACTGACATCCACACCCACATACCGCTAAATGTATATATTTAAAATATCCAATCAACGCATTCCCAGGAGAATCAGGGTACGTCGGAATCGGTCGGAACCGATCAGTTCCGTTGAATTCCGACGATTTCCTAACTAACGGATTCCGGTCCAGATTTCGTCGGGCCATTTCCGATCGATTCCCATCAGTTCCGTCGATTTCCGACGAATTCCGGGTTGAAATTTTGCGGAGCTTAACGGAATTTTTCCGCCGGAAACCGGACCGGGATCCGTTAGTTAGGAAATCGTCGGAATTCAACGGAGCCGACCGAAAAGCAACGGAATCCATAGGATCCGGTGCCGGAAACGATCGGACCCACTGGTCGGATTGAATCTCCTGGGGATCGACGATCATGGAGTAGATAAACAATTATGAATATTTCATCTTGAATTTGATCATGTAAAACACTAGCAGATATATATATATATATATATATACCGTATATATCAACTAAAACATGTAACTTATATAATTTTTACGAGTATATGCATACTGGGTATTCGTAGAGTTTAATACTAAAACAAACTAATCCTAATAAAATGTTTTAGGATATGGAAGTCATCTTTTTCACTTTGTTTTTTGAAAATCCTGTTCACTTTACTCGTATGTGAAATTTTTCTATGATGTAGATTTCACTAAGAAATTTTATAACAAATGGAAAAAAATTCAAAATAAGTTTTTTTGTTTTGTTTAATAATATGGCCACTTCCACATTTTATCATCATGTAAATCTCTTATGTCAAAATCCGAATATAAAATAATGTCAAGTTTGATCAGAAAAAAAAATAAAGCTTTGTTGAATTGCTACAAGTATTTGAGTCGTTCTTCTTTATGACAACCGAAATAATATAAATTTATTAGTTCTCTTTAAAAAAATATTTTCTTTTTTGGTATTTTTTTTTTGATTTTTGTACAGAAAAATATATAAGCATTTTATCTATCAAATAGAATGAATAAAGCGAAGAAGATAATTGTAAGAAACATACACAAGAAAAAGTCTTTTGATAATTATAAGTAAACGGAAGAAAAGAAAATCTGACATGACATTGTCATTTCTATATTGTTCGTCGATATTTTAATTATTGTCAACTACCATTATTTTCCATGGCATATTCTTTTACTTTAGCTTCATATTTTAAACGTAAAATTGTTTTCAATTCTTCCGTATTACCCGTTGGTTTTGATTGACCACAACTCATTATCCATGGATGAAGTAAAATATCATCAGCACGCATTCGTTTTTTAGGATCAACAACTAATAAATGATCAATTAAATTTTTTGCATCTGAAATCAAAAAAGAGTTCTCAAATTGAATTAATATGTGTGATGAACTTCATACTTGCTGAAACCGGTTCCCAATACTCAGATTCATAATTAAATTTGCCAGCTTGAATCATTTGAAATAATACTTCTTGATTACGATCCGGTGATTTAAAAGGTGGGTAACCACATAGAAGTATATACAAAATAATGCCCACTGCCCAGCAATCAACTTCCATACCATAACCTGCTTCTGCAAGAATTTCCGGTGCAACATAACTAAAGAGAACAATAAAATAAATGATTAATTATTTAGTAGGAAACAACTTGAATTACTTTGAAACGTGAGGGGGAAGATTTCAAATACAGACATAAATCACAATATTCTAATCCTTTGTTTCATACTGATTTCTATAGAGTTATTCAGGAGTATTAAGAGTATAGTCTAATGTTTGTAAAAAAAAATAAAGTTGTTTTTATGTTATTCAAATTTATAGATTCAGTAGTATCACGAACAAGACATTTACGCATGTTTATCGAAAATAACACAATGATAATTATTTGTTTTCTTTTTACTTCTGTTTTTGATTAGAAAAATATTATTCAATACCCACTATATGTTATATCGCGCTAGAAAAATAAATCTATAGACCATTATTTGATGTTGAAAAATCCTAGTGAATAGCCCCTTGATTGTGTTAGCCGATGCACCATTAAGGTGTGACTGATACACAAAAGAAAGAAAAACAAGATGATTTGAAATACTTTTTCATGATATAGACGTGTGCGATAATTTTTTTCTCTTCTTCTACGTAACATAATCGGATTTACGTGATATACAAGTCTACTGAATGATAGTTTTTTATGTACGTGAAACAAATCTTACGTAGGTGTTCCGCAAACAGTCTTTATTGGTGCTTTAGCATGCATAGCTAAACCAAAATCAGTTAATTTAATTGTAATTCGTCCATCTCGTTTTTGCATAACTAATAAATTTTCTGGCTTTAAATCTCTATGAACAATACTTTTTGTATGTAAATATAAAAGTGCTTCCGAAACATCTTTAATCATTAGAGCAGATGCTGGCTCATCGAAACGTCGATGCTTTGTTATATAATCAAATAAATCACCACCTTTAATTAATTCCATTACAAGATAAATTTCATCTGATGTTTCAAAATCTTCAAGTAAACGTATTATGTTCGGATGATTACATGAATACATAATATTTATTTCATGATCAAGCATATATTCTTTACCCTATTAAAATAACAAAAGAATTTGTGTTCTTTGAATAATTTTGCTTTATTTTACCTTCATTTTTGATTTATCAATTATTTTAACAGCAAATTCCTTTTCAGTTCCACGTAGTTTTGAACGACGTACAATAGCGAAATTTCCATCACCCATTTTCTTGCCTAAATCATACTTATCAGTAATAACAGCTGGTGTCAAATGCTTAAAAGAACGTTTTTCTTTAAATTTAAAATAAAAAAATCAATTAACAAAACTTACTATAGTTGATGAGCGTTTTTTAGTTGCATTTTTCTTTTCAGTTGATGTGGATTCTTTTATTTCATGTGAATCATGCGGATTTACTACGCTCGGCCGTGGAAATGGCATTATTGATATGGGTTTATTTACTAAATTTAGACAAAGTATTTTTTCTTTTTTTGAGTATTTAAAAATAGAAAATGTTTTGTTTATATTAATACCTTCTGGCGGAGATTTCATTTTATTTGAACGAGATGTTTCGTCATCATATTTATCAAGTACTAATTGATCAAATTTGGGCATAAAAAAAATTGATGCTGGCTGTTGATGATCTTTTCTTATTGATAATCTTTTTCGGCGTTCTTCTTCTTCACGTAAACGCTGTCGTTCGCGTTCACGCTGTTGTTCAACCGTGGCAACAGACGTTGGCTTGATTGATTCTATAGAGAAAAACAAATTTTGGCAATGCAAACTATTTTTCTTCTTTACTTTTCGATTTTCGACTCATGAGATCATTTGATGGAACTGTTTCTTCCGACACGGTTTCATGTTGTTTATTATTATTATTATTTGTTTGTCGTAATGATAGTAGTTCATTATCTTTACTAGTTTGAACATCTTCATCGTCGACAAATCCACTGTCACGTACGTTGACTGTTTTTTTTATATCAATAGAAACTAATCCTGCGATAGCTAATGGCGTGTTTGGTGTATCGAGATCAGCTGGTGATTGAGCAAGTTTTTTCGATTGATGTCGACGTGCTGTTGTATTTTGAGAATCATAGCCCATTTCAAGGCCTATCTCTTGTAGATCTTCAAATGGAACGTCGTAGTTTGTTGTCGAAGCAACGAAAATATCATCTAGGTAAGAAGCAATAGTATGTTTTATTTTGAAGAAAAAACGAGCGCAGATTCATACGATACCTTCACGGAAAAACTCATGGATGCCACTAATTTGTCGTCCTTTTAAAGTAAATAAACGTTTGATCTATTAGAAAGTAAAATTTATTCTTCAAATTAAATTAAATTAGAAATAGATTAAAATTTTACTTTTTCCGAACGACTTTTTTGATATCCAAATGCTTCCGAAATATCTGATAGCAACTGGTCAAATGTTTGACCTGTACGTCTATTGAGTAGGATATTTATTATTTTATGTGGTTTTTCATGTCCTTGTTTAACAATTGTTATAGTACGTGGCTTGCTATTTAACTGTTCTAAGCCATATCTATTTTGTTTTAAATTAGTTTTCTTTTGTTGTTGAATAGAATTAGTTGCTGTAGCCGTGAGTGATTGCAAGAAAAAATTATTCGTATGAAAACGATTTGTTGTTGTAGTTGTTGTTACATTCGGTGGTATCGTTGCACCATTAATAACCGCTACTTTTGGAAGTGATAGTGTTGGTAAATGACGTACACTGACACGATTTGATGAATGATAATCATGATACGGCTGGCGGACTGAAAAATAGAAGATGAAAATTAGTTTAAATCAAAAATTCAGATCATTAGTAGAATCTCTATGAAATTAAAATGCGAAATATGATGAAGTTATTGTTTCTAATTACATGATGATTAGTTTACTATGTGCGTTTCTGACAGATTTCTTTTACTGAATCCTAAACAAACGCAATTAGGAGCCTATTCATAGACTAGAGTGACATTATTCAGCTAAATTAGTTAATCCTAAATCTAAAGCTGATAGTACCGCGTGTATTGTGAAAGCGAGAGGTTACGATGGTTTTTGTTAAAAGTCTATCACAGTATTTCAAAAAGATCCAATTTTTATTGTAAAACTATAATAAGGTTTGCTTAACTTATGTTTGACAAGAATAAATAAATCATTTGTTTTTTCTTAAGTTTCCAATGAGAAAAAAAAACAATGTTCAGATATCAAACGTAAATATATAATTATGCTTTACATTTATCATTTGTTTCCTTGGCAATAAATATCAGGAAATATATATTTTTACGAAGAAAGCTCTACCGGTCATATCGATTATTTTTTAACTAGGTACAATTTCTCAACGAAATAATCGATTGATGAGGGAACTATTTTCAATTGTTATTTTAATACTTGAAAATATGTTTTTTTTCTTACTTAATTTGCTCGGCCAGTCAAATGATTGATATACATTGAAGTTGAATACTTTAGGTGTTAAGAACATGACGGTAAGTATAACAGTAAATGATAATCAAGTTCAAGAGTAGTGCTTCATTTGTTTTTTGTTGCTTCACCTAACAACAACTCTCTTCCTTTTATTCACAACGATATTGTTCTCTTTTTTTTCTTCCTCACTCTCTCTCTGTCGCTCGCTTTTTCTCGTTGCTTTCTTTATTTTTTATTATAATCTCAATTGTAGCGAAAAAAAGAATATTTAGTGAGCTCCTGTAGCTGTATTTATTAGTTAATAATAATCATTGAAATGAAGCATTCTTTCTATTCTCGTCGAGCAGCAGTAGTAGTAGTAGATCACTCGACAGGCGAGTTAATTTCGAATTCTTTCTATTGTGTTTGTAAAAAATACAATAAGAAAAAAAAGAAAATAAGAAAAAAAAAGAAGAATGAAATCAGTTTGCAGTGTCGATAAATTTCTAATTACTGTTTCTCTTTTTTCTTTTTTTCTCATTTTCTCTTTTCTTTCCACTTTTGTTGACTTTGTAATATAAAATCGTAATAGTAATTAAAAAATGTAAGCTGACGAAGAAGAAGACATAGACATGTATCGATACAGAGGAAATCCTTGCTATGCATATTTGAAAAATATTTTAATCGCAACATCATCAGCAACGAAATCAAAAAAAAATACAAAGGACATTGCATTATTTTTAGTAATACGAATGCATAAATACAAACTGAGTGTTGTCCCGTGAAATAAAAAGAAAAGCAGTTCACGATAAACAGACTGTAAATCACAAAAATAAAATCCATGTAAACCTACTTTGTTCGATATTGAAAGTTATATGAGGTACATAATTAACGATATATTCTAATTTTTGAAATGGTTCATATGCTGCGCACACATAGGAAGCACCATCTTTCAAACTACCAATATCTGTAACTTCTGTGCCATGTTGCGGTGTAAATAGTCTTCGTGCACCATAGGGTAAATCGATGGCGACTGATAAATCTTGCAACAATTGTCTAAGTTTTGTATAGTTATGCGGTGTGACAGTTACTTGTTTACCAGAAAAACATCGATCACCATTACGATATAATGTTATTCTACATGGTGCACGAGCTGACCTGTCATTTGTTAATCGTGCTAGAGGCGGACGAATAAGTTTTCGAGTGTAATGTTTTGGTTGTGAAAGTGCTTGTATAGGACTAGGTAACCATTGATTAGATGATGAAACCACATCCGTCATTTGTCACAGTTAATGAAAAAAATCTGCAGAGAAAGGAAGTCGCACAAAACAGAACTAAATTATTAATTTATTTAGGTATATCTTTTGTTACAATTAAAAGCGTGAAACAAAATGTTGTTTTCAATAGAGCAACAGATTAAAGTCTAAAATAGAACGATTTTCCATTTTGTTGTTATGACAATGCCATTAAGTAATCGTTGAAAAAGAAAAGAATTATTGATTCAGGAATACAAAAAAATAAGTTAAACAGACGACGAATTCTAGCGTCATCTTTTATTTTAAAAGGTTCTTCTTTTCACTAAAGTCGTTGCTTAGGATCTGCAATCAATTTGATATGTCTAATTGAATAAATCTTTTTTCTCGATAGCTTAAACTTCAAATTTCAGGATCATCGTTCGTTAAAAAAAAGTCAAACGTACTGCTCAATAATTATTCATATGAAAAATATAACGATTAGCCATTTCAGGCACATAATTCATATCTTTATTGTTTGATGTATGTGCTTGTGTTTGTGAACACAGCAAACAATTCAAAACAACACAGCGTTTTATGATTGTGTTCACTCAATTTCCTGAATTGACATGTTTGATGAAAAATAAATATGCCGGTATAGAAGGCTTACATGAATTTCCTCTCATGAGTTTCCCTAAAAATTAGAATTTCTATGCTTGATCTGCATATTTGTTGGAACAAAACGGTCTGTTTTGGCGCACATTATAATCGATGGAATCTTCTGAGACAATTATCCTTTGTGTGTTATTTGCGTAAAATACTAAATTACTACTCCACATGTTTTCTTCTGAATCATCTTACCATGCGGGCAAAAGTCCGCATAACCTCAAGAACAACTATATAATCAAACTTCCCTATTGTGATATTGTAGATTTTTGAATAGCTTGTTCAATAATTTAACCACTGATTGAATAACTCATGATTTCAACGACGTCATTCAAATAGTAGTTGTTGTTTCGCTATAGTTATGGTGTTGTCTAAATTTACCCTGACTGTCATAGCGCGATCCTATGCAATAAAAACCTTGAAATGCAATTCGACTCGAACGCAAACTGTTCACAAGTACCTTTTAATGAAATTGATTACTGTCTAATCCTGCCGAACGCTACGTTTTTCTAAAGAAGTCTTGTGCAAACTTTTAGGATATTCATGAGACTAGTTAAGTTTTCTCTCTAGTGCATATACGTATACTAGGATCCCATTGAACAATTTTAGAAGCCAGATTTCTGAAAGCTGAGCAATTGAATTTGCAAGCTTCAGGGAATTTAGTCGAACGTCTATTTTCAAGTGTTTAAAATTCTGACAATCATGATTGGTCATCATATGTTTTGATAAATTTCCCTAGATAATTTGTTCCACAAATGGCAGAAAAACAGCGGTGCTCTTTTTTGTGTGCTAACTAAAAATTTGATTAAAGAAAATATGACAGCCATTCATTTTGCTTTCTTCAAAAAAACAACTCTAAACAAGTTATCTGTCAGCTGATTCGTGAAAAGGGAATGTTTTGTTCTTATCAAATAATTACATTTTGAAATCGATCGAAGGAACTAATATTTGTTGGAAATGTAAATTGCGTTAATGTTCAAATAAAAATTTCCATTTATCTGAATAATTAATCGCCCCAGAATCGTAACTGTATTGAGGATGTAGAAAAGAGTTCAGACGTTTGATGAATATAAAAATTATATCTGAAAAATTCATTTTACTAGTCTCGAATAACTTATAGAATAGAATTCTTACTATTAAGTTCTTGAACCTATAAGATTCGTAACTAGGCGCCTCGGATTAATTGAAACGAAATAAAAACTGTTATTCTTTCATAAAATGCCGTTATTTTCAACATTTTTTTCAAACAATCAAAATAAAAACATCAATTATGAGTGTAATGTTCTTCAAGAACATTGACGAATTTTGGTACTCAATTGGTATTCTAATAAAGTGATGGTATAGAGAAAAAAAACGCTGTTTTGTAGTCATTTTGCTGGAGAAGTTTGACATGACTGAAATAAAACTCACCAGTTGATACTGTAATAGCGCTAGATTTGTTTCTAGCCGAAAACTCAAAATTATTCTTTTGATATATACTTTTCTTTTTCGAGTATTCTGGACTTGGTTAGATTTCGAATGACTGAAATCAACCCGAAGAGATATTAGTGTTCTTTCGATAAGTTTTCTTTCACTTAATACTCGAAAATATTGACGAGTGCCCAAGGATCGAAATTAAATGTCTGATTTGATTCCCTTTACGAGTGCTCGGAATTCAATGATTGCCAAGAGACCTTGTATTTGCAATGAACGAACCAAACGTATTTACGTCAGACTTTCAAAACACTTATTGCATCTGTTACATGTTTTTCGCTTTCCACTTGAAATTTGTCTTGATGCGTAAAATTACGTATGACACATTTCGATGTTTCTACAGCCAAACAACTACAACTTTCTTTGACGACTTCTCTTAGCGTATTTTTTTTCTGAAAAGCTTAAAGCTACTAAATACGATAGGTACTCGATTTTGTAAAATTATATGCATAAAAGAATTCGAATTATTCGTCAAGATCTATGATTATCAAACGTGAGAAAGGCGCGGTTCGGTTTTACTTTCATGAGTATTAAATCTTCTTCAGCGTTCACTGGATGACGCAAATGAGTTACAAAGTAATTCTGTGTTGAACAATAACCAGTATAGCTCTTATGGGGACTACCACGGAGAATCAGGGTCTACCATTGGTAATCAGAGTCTGCCATAGGGAATCGGGGCCTACCATGGTGTGGGTGTCACGTAGGGTATATACAGCAAGAGCACACACANATAACCAGTATAGCTCTTATGGGGACCACCACGAAGAATCAGGGTCTACCATTGGTAATCAGAGTCTGCCATAGGGAATCGGGGCCTACCATGGTGTGGGTGTCACGTAGGGTGTATACAGCAAGAGCACACACACACATCACACATCATACATGATAGTGTGGGTGTCATGAAGGGTGTACACAGCGAGAACACACACATCACAGCCCGCATATTTTTAGGACCCTAGTAGACGCTAGTAGACCCTGGTAGACCGTGGCAGATCCGGTTAGACCCTGCTAGATGCCGATTCCCTATGGCAGACCCTGATTACCAACGGCAGACTCTGGCTACGTTACATTTTTTTAATTATTTTGTAATTCATTTGTGTCATGAAGTCTCAGCGTCCAAAAAGTTTTTCTTTGATGAACATCAGAAAACTAATAGTTCGATATTAAATTCATATTGATTAGTTTGCTTTCATAATTAAAAATTTAAATATAATAATAAGAAATTTATTTGATTATTCATAATTATATTGTCAGATTGAGAGATTTATGATTATAGAAGGACATCTAGTATGAGACGGAAAGAAGCTCTATAGTAGGACAGTATTTTCGTGAAAATAGCGAGGAGCTCATGTTTTTGGGTGAAAAATCAAAGAACTCGAATCATAACTAGTCGNTATTTCATTATCGATAATTTTATTTTCGTCTTTTTTTAAAGTTGCTGTTGTTATAAAATCAAAAAAAAAATGAATCATCTTGCTCTGTAACTATTTATGATAAATATATACGCTTAAATCAATTTTTGTTCGTTTCTTTTGCGTGATTGAATAGTTAATCAAAGATGATAATAGAAGCAGAAATATAATTTATAGCTGAGTTGTCAAAAAAGGAGAAAAAATAAAGAATTCTATTCATTTAGCCGTGGGATTGAATTGGTGGTCGGACTGCTCGGTGCAATAATATATAATAAGTTGTTGGTTTATGTGATTAGATGAGATTGAATAAAAATTAAATCAATAGTTAAAACGGTTAGTTCGTGATCTTTTTGATCTCGATTAAAATTAAATCGATAATTTGTAAATTGTTCCTATCAGTATCTATTGATATATTTAATATTTGATTAATTTACAATTTACAAGTAAGTGATGATCTGTATTTAAGATTTTCTCCTATAATCGAAGCGGTCTCACAATCAATTTATATTTCATTCTTCCTATAATTTATAATAATTCTTATATTTTGTACTACATTGACAAAATGTTGAACACTTCAGCCTGAATATTATTTTGTCCATCTTCAATTATGTACTTCTTTTGAATAGAACCTAAATAGAATGTCGAATGGCGCGATTAGTCAAACTCGCATTCCACTTCATGTAAACCATGACCAGTGTTGCTGATAGTTAACAAATCTTTCTCAAACTGGAAAAAAAATAAGATCATGTCTCAACGATTAATAACAGTATCTAAATCGCGTTTGTCTTTTTCTTTTATCCAGTGGAGTTTGCATCAGGAATCTTTTATTCCATCAACAGTTCTTATCTAATGTTTAAAATAAAGATTAGAAATTTATTTTGGTCGAATATCAAAATTAATTAGAATAACGATTTTAAAAATTAAATTCGTCATTTTAATTTGAAAAATCTGACTAGAAATCAATAATAATGATGCACACTGGATTGAATCAACCAATGCGGATCGAAAGTAATGATATTCAATTTATTTTTCAAAAATAAAGAATTCGATTTCGTAGCATTTTCACTATCCTGTTCTTTTCATGATTGATCATATGTCATCGATTTCGCCATTATTGCCGTGACCACTTAGTTGTTCAGCTAGATTTTTTGGTTGAACACATCCTATAACTTGTAATTGAATTCCAGGTGAGATTTGATTTTGATTCGCTCTCGTCATTTGACATTGACACGTGAATTTTTTACGAAAAGCATTTTATTTGTCGACAAAGTCGACTTGATGCTACCATAAAAACAAAAAAGCTGCCCTAAGAAAGAAGCAAACAAAATAAAATGATCAACACGCAAGAAAAAAGTGAAATACCGTAAAATTGAATTAAAAAATTGTCATTAAACTGGCATCGATGATGTCAACAACTGCTAGATAATATGATTAATCGTGAAAAATCGGATTATTAACTTGATATATTCGAAAACTGATGTCAGATAAATTTTTGAAAACAAACAACGACACACGTAAAAGAATCATTGCAGTTAATTGGCGATCAAGTCGTCGACGAAATACTGGCGTTTGACGTCGTATTATATGACGTACATTTCGATACGCAAGCAAACTAAATAATGCCGAAATAACAATCGGTATCATACCAACCAACTAATACACAATAGTGAAACAATGAATCAAAATAATTAAATACTGGATTGAATGTTGCACAATCGAAATTTGGACGAATTTCGCTGAATATCATCAACAGAATACTATACAGCAGTGAAAATATAATGATAATGGTAGTAAGATATTGTACCGAATTAAAAGTACTCAATCGTCTTAGATTAGGATTGTAACTGGTTGATAAATATTGATCGATAGCTGCGAAGAAAATGGTAATTGTGGAAATGATTCGCGTAACTTTAGCTAAGTATGCATGAAGTTTACATCAAACAATAGATGTTCTTGTTGGATCGAAGTCAAACGCAGTTACAGTAATATCAGCTGAAATTGGAAAAACTAGTTGAGAGAAATCAACAATAGATGCCACGGTGAGGTAAAGTGCTGATGGATTTCGTTGGAATAATCTTAATTGAGTAAAACCAAGAATATTCACAAGATTTCCAATAAAATCAATAAATACATTTGAATAACCCACAAAAACAATTATAAAATGTGTTATTAAGAGAATAGTCTCGGTTGCAAGAACCATCACTGCAAAAAATTTGTCTAGCGATGATCGTTATAGCATCTCATAGAGCGATTTGTCTTATTTGAGTCTTCTGTTACTTTTTATGCAGCATGCTCGATAGTGTTAGTATTTAGATAGGCTTATAAAAGAACATGCTTGAGATTTTCTGGAATTTTACATTAATATTGTTTTTTTTTGTTCTATGAAATCATATTTTATACAAAGTAAAAGACAGAAAAGCTTTAACACTAAAATAGAAAAGAGCTAAAGTAATCCCACTAAGAGATTTTGCTTTTATCTCTTTAGAAAGCAATTAGCTGAAGCAACTAGACGATATTTTTCTGAAATAATAAAAAAATCTCAAGGTAGTTCATTATGTTAATTCTTCTTGATTAATTACTCACTGTATGAAAAACAAATGACTGCTATTTTAAATGGATTTATTATGAAAGTGTGGAGTTTTTCAAATCAATTGATGCCGTGCTACTCAATAGTCGTCTATTTACTAATGAATCTATTTCATCTAATTTTGGACCTCGGCGTTCCAATCACATTTTCTGTAGAAAGACGAGGTTTTCTGATCAGAGACACAGGGTTGATAAATGATTGAATTGACATCATGCAAACTTCTAAATTTGCACTCGATTGGATTTAGTAAATAAAATACTTGAAATATTCCAGAGATTAAACAGCTCATTATCCATACAATCTGATTTTCATTGAATCGCTAGTATTTTTTATGACAAGATTTTAAATGTAAAATTTGTTTTTTTCTGTTGTTTTCGATTTTGGAACGCGTGAAATTAGTTATTTCGATTTATTTAACATTCTTCATAAAGGTATTTCATTACAATAGGTAGATGATACGAAAATCTCAGCTTTAGTAATGCACACAAGCCGTAAACAATGCATATGCGATCATATTGTAATCTTTCACATACGGAAAAACTCGAGACATGCAGTAGAGTCCTGCATGTTACGATTTTTTTGTACCCTAGCTCTGCCCTATCGTAAAACTTCATACCCTTGTCACGCCCTGCCCTGCCTTGCCCTACCTAGGGCAATGATTCCTGAAGCAGTATTCCGTGAATTTCTGGCAAAAATCTGCAAGAAACTCGCTGTTTCCGACCGTGTCCCACCGGGAATTGTCGGGAATTCGATGCAGGAATCCGGAAACCGTATCCGGCGACCAGTTTTGACAGGTTGAGGGTGTGGGTGTGGGTGAAAAATAATCTTCATTCTATGCAAGTTAGACTGCTTGAAACAGCTGAAGTAACAAGAAACGTCTTTCACTTCGTAGGGCACACTCACGCTCTCGTCTGATCCACATCGATATGCTTCATTTTTCAAACTCTACGACTAGTTATGATTCGAGTTCTTTGATTTTTCACCCAAAAACATGAGCTCCTCGCTATTTTCACGAAAATACTGTCCTACTATAGAGCTTCTTTCCGTCTCATACTAGATGTCCTTCCATAATCATAAATCTCTCAATCTGACAATATAATTATGAATAATCAAATAAATTTCTTATTATTATATTTAAATTTTTAATTATGAAAGCAAACTAATCAATATGAAGTTAATATCGAACTATTAGTTTTCTGATGTTCATCAAAGAAAAACTTTTTGGGCGCTGAGACTTCATGACACAAATGAATTACAAAATAATTAAAAAATGTAACGTAGCCAGAGTCTGCCGTTGGTAATCAGGGTCTGCCATAGGGAATCGGCATCTAGCAGGGTCTAACCGGATCTGCCACGG